CCGCAGCTGACAGATCTGGACGAGTGGTTAACGTTACATACATCAAGCAACCTATTAACTCCCTGTATGGCTTCGACGTACGCTGCGATTCCTCTCCTTTCTCCAGTCGAAGGCGACTATCCATCGGAAAGGAACTTGGCTTGCACTCGGACATGTTGAACCGTGCTAGCGGATCCAGTAGATACCTTTGTTGGCTAATCCGCAGAACTCTCCGCTCAATGGCCCTTGTAATTCTCATACCAAGGAAACTCGTCACCTCTCCAGAATCCGTCATATCGAACTCCTTCGACAATGAACTCTTTACCGCTAGAATCTCCTTCAGCTCGTGTCCAATCACCAAAATATCATCCACGTACAGGATCAAGAAAATCTTCATTCGTCCATCGCCACGTACATACAAACACTGGTCACCATTCGTTCTCCGGAATCGAAGCTGTGTGACGAAACGGTGGAACCTATTGTTCCACGCTTTCGAAGCCTGCTTGAGACCATAGAGAGATCGATTCAGTCGGCAGACTAGACCATCTCCGCGCTTGAACCCCTCAGGGGCTGAGCCATGAATATTTCCTCGGTCACATCTCCATTGAGGAACGCTGTCCGAACGTCCATTTGATGGACCAGCATTCGCTCCTGATTGGCGACAGCTAGCATCATCCTCAACGTGTCCAACTTCGCGACCGGCGAGTAGGTCTCGGTATAGTCAAACCCGAATCGTTGGCTGAAGCCGCGCGCAACCAATTGAGCTTTGTATCGATCTGGTTCCTGGCCTTCTCCAGGTTTGATCCGAAAAACCCACTTACACGTGATTGCCTCTCGCTCTTTCGGAAGCTTCATGAGCGTCCACGTTTTATTCTTCAGCAGCGAGTTCATCTCCTCCTAGACAGCTACTTTCCACTTCGATCAGTCGGGTCTCTTCTTCAATTCAACAATAGTACTTGGCAAGTTTCCGACGTACTCCATAGCACCGAGAGCGAAACCGGCGAACGTCATATCATAGTCCTTATGCCACCCAGGTGGCCGGCGATTGCGACCAGATGGCTCAGAACCATGAGACTGCTCTTCAACTTCCTCTTCTCCGATCAAGCTATCGAAAACATCGGACTCTTCGTTGCTTTCACCTTCGCCTGGTTGCTCCTGATCTACGATCTGTTCATCATCACTGTCACCAAGCTCCTCATCAAAACGACCACCATCATCGTCAGCTTCAGCAAACGAATCAACCGGAATCCGAACTGTCTTAATTAATCTGGTCGGCCTCTGCTCGATGTTGATGTTTTGAACGTTTTCGTCGATGACAACATCACGAACTGTTACGATTGATGGGTATCCCAAATACGGTAGCCATTTATGCCATACCCGACGAACATACCCTTCCAGGCTTTCTCGTCAAGCTTTCGTCGGTGCTCCTTCGAAATATGGCAATAAGCCGAAGAGCCAAACACCCGGAGCTTCGAAACGTCAGGCTTTCTATCTTCCCACATTTCGAACGGTGTCATCCCGTCGCCAATAGCCCTTGCTGGACTTCTGTTTGTCAGGAACGCAGCGGTCTGCACCGCCTCTCCCCAGAACGCACGATCAACTCCAGAATCAAACAACATCGAACGGGCTTTCTCCTCCAACGTTCGATTGATTCGTTCGGCGACGCCGTTCTGTTCCGGCGTGTAAGGTACCGTATACTCCAGCTTGATGCCTTTGCCCTTGCAGAAAGATCGCAACTCCTTGCTGACATATTCTCCGCCATTGTCAGAACGCAACCGAGAAATCATCACCCCGAACTTTGCTGTCATTTCCGCTTCGTACTGTTTAAAGCAACCTGCTACTTCATCTTTTGACCGGATCGGAAACACCACAGTAAACCGCGTCCAGTCATCGATAAAAGTTGTGAAGTACCTGTCACCATCCCAACCAGTTGGTGTTACTGGCCCACAGACATCGGAGTGGACCAGCTCCAGAACCCGACTCGAACGTCGCTCCTCTCGCAGAGTGGATGGATTTCTGGTTTGCTTCGCTGCCATGCACGGTTCGCAAATAACCGAAGATTTGTCACCGCTGTAACCCTTCATGCCTTTCACCATGCCATTCTTCATCAAGCTCGACAGGTTGCTCTCGCCAAGATGGCCGTAGCGGCGGTGCCACAATTCCGTCGCCTTGCAAATCTTCCCCGAAAAATATACAGCATCGCACTCATCTTGTGTGTAGAAGTTTAACACGTAGAGTTTCTCGTTCCTTTGACCAGTAGCCACGACCACCGAATCCTTCAGAATCTCAACCTTGCCTTCTTGAAACACCACCTTCATTCCAGCCGATTCGATCTTGCTCATCGAGAACAAGTTGCACCGTGCCTCCGGAATGTAGACAACACCAGTCACAGTTGCATCGATAGTTTTATCGCCGATCACCGACACAACGGGAACGTCGCCGGCATATTTTGCCGTCACCCATTCACCACTCTTCGCTACGGCAATCTTCATGGGTTGGTCAAGCTCCAGTTTCGAGAAAAGCTTTCTGTCGTTACAGATGTGTTCGGTGGCCCCCGAATCAATTCGGATTTTGTTTTCCTGGCACAGCGACGCTTGGCTATCCGTGAGGAACATCACACCGCTTTTCTTGCCCTCCGCAACGTGAGCACTAGACTTACCGGAGGATTTGTTTTCAACTTTCTTCCTCTCAGGACAGTCAGCAAGCTTATGTCCCTCCTTCTGGCAACCAAAACATCTGAAGACTTTCTTCTTTTGCTTTTGTTTGCGACCTGCACTTCCAGAAAACGCCGCCGAGTCGTTCTTCGCCTCTTTGACATCCGATGCTGCTCCTTTCCGCTTGATTTCCTCGTCGAGAAGACGGCATTTTACGAAGTCCATCGTCAGCTGTTCTTCCGGTTGGGATTCAATCGAAGTGACAACAGCATCGTACTGCGATCCGAGCGAAAGCCACAATCGACACACGACATCGATATCATCGATCTGTCCTCCAGCATTCTTGTACATCCGCATCATTCGGTCAAATTGCACGAAATGCTCCTGCAGCGATCCAGACGTGTACCGTAACTCATGCAGTTGCCGATTCAGATGCATCCGCTTCGCCACACTCTTCCGTTCGAAGATTTTCACATCTGCTTGGGGGTTGTTTTTCCTTGCAGGTGCTCCAACTGATCGTCGTGAATCCGAGAGACGATCATTGATTTGCAGTGTTTCTCCTTCTTCTGCCGTTTCTCCAGGGCTTTCATCTTCTGTTGCTGCACTTCCGCCGTGTCCGCATCTTCGATTTTCAATTCCGCCACATTCTCAATTTCGTTCTCGATGCATTCCACCAAGTCGAACTCCTCCAACAAGGTCAGCATACGAAATTTCCATGCGGGGAAATTCGTCCCGTCGAACAACGCCACGCGATGGCAGACTTCCTTCTCGTCGCCAATTCTTTGCACTCGAAATAACGACCGAAAAACTTACAATCCGACCGATCCGCGACCAGGAACCGTTCCTGGGCCCATAACCTAATGGGCAGAAGGACTTTCGAAAAGAAAATACGCCGATTTATAGTGGAAAATGCGAAAGAAAAACTTGTATTAACTTGCTTACAGTTGTTCGATTGTTTTTGTTTTTTACATGACTGACAGAAGCACTCGTGGTGCGAAATACATTCATAATGTGATTTAGGCAGAAGGCTCATAAATTATACCCTAATACCCTCTACGTTGCGTTGGTGGTGCTTTAAAAAGGTCTATTGTTTTGATGAATCTGTAACTGTCACTTGACTTTCATCATCATTGCGCCTATATTTTGACAGCTTGGTCAAACATAATAATATGTCGTTTTCGTTTTTGCAGTATAGCTACACCGGTGCTACACTGCCGTACACCGGGTGTAGGTATAGGATGCACCCTTGTTTACAAACAAATGATGTTGAGCTATCAAAGACTGGCGCTTATTCCTGCTTACACTACACCGGTGCTACACCGCAAAAACGAAAACGACAATAGCTAACGATGTTTGAGGATTTTTCGTGGAAGGAACAATATCCATAAAAATTTAAACTTTAGTTAAGTTGAACGTATGTTGGGCTTATTGGGTTTTCTCGGTTTTCTCCTGTTACTATTAAAATTCCTGAATATTTTCAGATTTTCCCAGTTCGCTGGCCACCCTGCACTAATAAACATTTTCAAGATACCTTAGTTCAGTATTTTACATTTATGATGTGATTTTTGATATCCTGGGGTTTTGAAAAATTACTTAAAATATAATAAATCGAGATACCAGATTTGAAAAAAATGCGGTTACAACTTACAAAACCCGAACTAAAATTGGAGTTGTATAACTTGAGAAAATGGATCTCGGATTTGTACAAATTTTCAATATTCGTAAGCATTGAAATGTTTAAAATTTCGAACCCACCAAGATCCCGAGTATGCTAAACTTATGACAAAATTCGATATAACAGTGTTTGCAGAGAACAACTAATGCGTTGGATTTTGAGATGTACTTTCCTTGTTTCATTCATTGGTGTAACACCAATAGAGTTGCAACCTTGAATTATTACCTTATTCCAAAAGCCATCTGACTCACCAAACCACGGTAATCCAAACATTTGAATTGATTTGGGAGATGCACTGCATCTAACCAAATCAATGCAATTAATAAACCAATTAAAGATTCGCATTAACACATGTTTGGTTTGCGACGGGTGGTGGTTTCCATTATCCGCATTGTATCAACATGAATATTTGTCACTGCAGTGTGCTTGTTGATAATTAAATCATAGCCTCTGGTCATGTTCCGCTCCGCTCGATGGTGAACCTGCAAACCAAAGTGCATAACTCTTCCCCCCCCCCCCTCCATTGACCATGATTTCTTCGACTGATAATCACGGTTATGACCACGACACAAATCAAGCGGATAAACTGTTTTCTGTTGCGGTACCCCGAAGCATTCGTGAATTAATTTGATAAATTGGCGAAACTATTCAAAGCATCCTTCCGATAACGGTTTGCATTTTCCTCTTTGCAGTTCGGACAGTGCTGGTTTGCGGATGAAAATCGCCATACCGCGTAGCAATCAATCCAACTCCACACCTACGCCATCTCCTTCGGGTGGCGGCGGATCGAACCGTCCAGGTTCGTCGGCAAGCGACGTACTAAACCGGGCTATAGCGTCGACGCCCACTGCCGCAGCGGCTAGTCCAGTTCCAACGGCAACGACGACACCGACGACGACGACGACGACGGCGGCGGTGACAACGGCGACGACGACGACGACGACCAGCGAAGGTAAGTCCACTCAACAGACGGACACTGTATCCCCTACGAAAAAGAAGACCAGAAAGAGCAGCAAGAGCGAATCCAGTTCGGAGACTTCGTCGTATTTCTCGAACTTGAGCGACAGCGATAGCGACAGTAGCAGCTCGGACAACCACAACAGCGGAGGAAAGCGGGGGAACAGTTCTTCCGGAAGCGGACAGAAGAAGCAAAAGTTTATCAAACGGAAGAAGGTAAGTTGTCGGGATTGTGACTACAAAGCCAAGACACTAACGGTACTTCCATTTCAGAGCAATCGAAGCGTTTCAACGAGCAGTAGCAGCGACGGTAGTGACGACTCCAGCGATTCCGACTCCAGTAGCGACGAGAATGCGGACGACAGTAAAGATCAGAGTCAGGAATCGCGAATACCTGAGGGAAACAGCTCTACTCCACTGTCTACATCTACACCGGCAAAGTCATCTCCGGCTACATCTACGCCGGTATCGATGATGCCTCCGGCAAGTGCAGTCCCAGATGCAGACGTTGGTTCATCTTCCGACAACGAACTTCCTGCACTGGTCAACGCAGCAATCATGCGAGTTGCCGAGAGTGGATCCGACAACGAGAGCATCCGGGGTCCGTCGTCTGCCATCCCACAGTACACTTCCAGTCTGCTGCGAGAGTTCGTTGCCAAGACGGCAATGCTCGGCAGCGTAGGAAACTCATCTGAGGCAGCATCGACGACGGGTCAGACGGAGGCCCACCACAAAATTAAGACTGAATCTCCGATGGCAACTGGTCCGGTAGCATCTGCCAGTAGCACCGGGAACGTAAACGGGGTGCCTTCGAAGACTGAATCAACGGCACCAATCGTGCCGATCAAGCGACGAGGCCGACCACCGAAGACGGTCATCAACCCGGCAGCAGTAACAGCTACGACCGCAAAAGCGAACACGCCCACGGTCAGTGAATCTCCGGACTCGGGAATACTGTCGACGCACAGTTCAACCGGTTCGCCCAAAACGGACAAGAAGGCTTCGGCGGCTGCAAGTCAAAAGCGACGAACGGAACCGGAGCCCAGCGGTAGCGGAATGAGCAGTAAAAACGCAGCCGCTCCCACCCTCACCAAGTACACCCTATCCAGTTTGGATCGCAATACCTACGCTACGGAAAGGGTACTGTATCCTCCGAGGGGCAAAAAGAAGACTGGCCGACCTCCTAAGGAGAAACAACCGCAACAGGTGGTGCCACCACCTGCGGAAGACAATCTGGATCCTCTGTGGAAAAAAATCGACATCAGCAAAAAATTCCACGAACCGAGGTTGAGTGGCTACAAAAGCGACGGCGGACATTCGACGATCTGCTGCAGCAAACGGCTGGCATCGCAGAGTGGCTACATCAGTGACTACGGCGGAAGCAGTCATCGGAGAAATCGGCTCTCCGGGTACAAATCCGACTGTAGCACAAAATCTCGAAAAAGTTGCGGTTACAAGAGTGACTACAGCGTCAAGGCGAAGAGCTGCGGCTACCGAAGTGACTGCAGTACCCGCCATCGGAAGCAGGTCCGACGGAAACGGCGCAAGAAGCTGGCTCCGAACAACAACAACCTGAACAACAAAAACTTCAATCAAAGCAGCAAGTCTTCAAGCGTTAGCGAGCAAGACATCCTACAGTTGGCAGGTCTTACGCTTGGAAGCACCAGCGAGGAGAGTAGCAGCAGCCAAGAATCCCTATCATCGATCAACACCACAACTCCCTTCAACAAAGCCCTTCGTATCTCCCAGGATCCATTCACCACCGCCACTGCCGCCACCGCCACCAACAAAAGCACCATTCCATCTCTGATCACCTCGAAGAACCGTGTCAACCCACTGCTTCCGATCAACAACTTCCGGGGAATCTTCTCGTCCGTCAGTAAGTTCGGCAACCAAGACACTTTCGGTTCCAGCATCGGCCCGAAGAACTCGTTCGCCGCCTTCCTGAGAAACAACCGCAATAAAGACAATGGTAAAGTTACGGTCAGGAAACTCCCACTCTCCAAAGCGAACGTGATCAGGAACTCCGAAGAGTGCAGCAAGCGGTTCCAACGATCCACCAGCCAAGATCTACTGATTCGAATCACGAATGCCGACATCCCAAAGCCTTCCCCGGCGAAATCCGTGTGCTCCAAGCGCAGTCGAAGGAAGAGCTGCCACAGCGATAAACTGGACAGCGTGTCGGTGAAGAGCTGCGGAACGATTCGCCAGCGACGGATGAGTACGATGAGCCGATGCAGTAGCAGGTCAGCCGGTTCGAGGCACCCGTGGAGAAAGAAAAAACGAAAGCGACTCAGGTCCAGCTCCGTGGCAGGAAAGGCATCGACCGACATCAAGCTGGGACTGGAGATCGAACGGTTAAGTGAATCGTTCGGGACTCAGTGTCGGATCAATGCAAAAGATGGAGTGCTGGGAATCGGGGCGGCTGCGCTGGCGGGAGCCGCTGCGAAGAATCAACCGAAGGGACGCTCTATGAAGAAGCGAAAGGCTTCGGAACACGTTGAATCACCTTCCACGACTACCGCAGGCACCAAGCGGCGGAACAAGAAATCCATCCCAACGCAAAGTCCCGATGATCATAAGCTTCCGCTGAAGAAGCGTCATTATCTGCTCAGTGAGCAGACGGCCAAGGGAAGCGATAGCGGAGCGGAGAGAGATGATACCAGGAGTCATACTGTGATCAATCCGTGTGCCACGGTCGGTGGACGCGTGCACAATGCAGCTGCTGCGTCCACCTCATCTACGTCCGCTTCGGTAACTACCGTTAAGGATCCGACCAAGGCAGTAACGCCGAAGAAGCGACACCTGCTAAAATCCCCGGAACCCGTAGTCCCGGAGGAGATCGTTCAGATAAAGTCTAGCGATTCACCACTGACGTTAGATGTGAAGAGTACGGATAGCACTACGACCGAAGCTACCGGTAGTCACAAGAAGCACGATGCAATCACCCGCAAAAAGAACCGGTTGGAAGGTCTGGTCTCGAAAATCCAACCGACCGCCACGGTTACGGCTATCCTAGCGGACAACAACATTCTGGCAGCAGCGAGCCATCGCTCAACACCACCCACCCGTCCATCTGTGATCCAGACTTCTACTACCGCTGCGACTGCTTCTACTTCGTCCTCCACGGTGGCAAATATCCCTCCCCCAGGAATTTTCGAACCAACGGTTGATCTGGAACTTGCCATCCCCACTTCCATTCCTTCGCTGATAGCTAAGGTAGAACTGTTGGACTCGCCTCGGCTCAAGGATGACATTGCCAAGCTAGAGGGTGAAGACGCTTCCAAGAAAAATTCGGAAAAGGTTATCGAGACACTTCTCACCAAGACGGGAGCACATCTGTTGTTGAAAAAGAAGCGAAAGAAACCCAATCGAACGGGTTTCCCCTCCGTAAAACGGAAGAAGAAGAAGCTGTTCGAAAAGGAACCTTCCGAGGAGGAAAACAAACCGGAAGTGGGTCCGGAGTTGTTCGACTCATCCAACCTAACGAAGCATGTTCCATCGGAAGTGGAGAAGACGGTATCCAAGCAAGTTCCCCAGAAGGAGGTATCTGCGAAGAATTGTGATCGGGTGCCAAAGGAGGGTGAACCGACGGACAGTTTTATCGAGAGGAATACCAGGCCACGGCTGTCGGTGGTTAGCTTGGAACGACTACAGGGCAAAATACCGATGAGTGGACGGGAGGTCACAAGTCCAACGACTCCTCCGGCAACCGGTGCAGGAAGGGGTAGGAAAGCGGCGATTGCGGTCGTCACTGCTCAGCCTCCCGAAGCCCCACCTCCAGCGACGTCATCCGAACGAAGGCAACTACGAGAGAAGTCCAAGGATAAGAGTGAACCTGAGAAAAAGGAAGAACCGAAGAAGAAGGAAGAACCGAAGACGAAAGAGAAGAAATTCCGACAAGAACCACTACTATCGGTTAAGATCAGTCGAAAGGAAGTTATGGAGAAGATTGTCAAGAGCAAGGAGAAGCATTCGGAGCCGGAACCTCTTGCGAATGTTCCTAAACCGATTGAGAAGTTAGCTAAGCATATATTGGATAAGGAGAACAAGAAGCAAGTGGCCCCACCGGTGAAGAAGGGCAAAGTTCTTGCCGAGGAGAACGCTCCGTCCATTCCTACACCAGCTCCTACGCCCACCGCACTTCCCATTCGGAGAACCCGTAGCAGTTCGATCGCACTGGATCCTGCTGAGCTGGCCAAAAAGACTGCCACTCAGGAAAGTGAAATCGTTCTGAAGAATGCCGTCATTAAGTTGCAACCCTGTATGATCTCTAACGAGGACTCCGATTCCCTGGATTCCATGCCGCTATTGAAGCGCCTTCATTCCCGATCCGTATCTCGGCAGCAACAATCTGCCACCCCGGACGCAGCACTAATAATGTCCCCGAAAACTCCAACCCGATCGAGAGGACGTCCCAGAACGGCATCGCCTACGCCAGCTACAAAAACGACTTCAATTCCGGTTACTCCGACTCTCTCCGAACAATTGAACAAACTACGCCGTTCTCGGATGAGCGTTGTCGATACTACGAAACGTCCCGTAGAACCTGAACCCCCGACAACTCCACGAACTAAGGAAACCCGTTCGGCAGCGGCCAGGAAATCCTTCTCCAAGGATACAGCCGTCATCGACCAACCGCCGCAGAAACCTCCACCGAAGCAGCAGTACGACATTCCACCGGTGAAGATCATCATCTCGAAGAAAGATCAGAAGGCTGTGGCTACGGCGGTTGCTGTTGAGAGAAAGTTGTTGAAAGAGAAAAGTCCCGTGCCGGCGTTCATCGAGGAAATGTCCAAAGATAGGACAAGGTGTCGCAGTTCCAGCCGAATCGATGCCGTGGTCGATAAGATCCGCAAGGAGCAACAGAAGAGCGTGGAAGAACCGGTTGCTTTAGCTCCACTTCCTCCCCCACCTCCACCTCCTCCTCCGCTGAAGATGAAGCGAGGAAAGAGCGACGAACTGAAGCTGGACGTTGAGAAGCCAACCAAGAAGCAGAAGAAGAATGACTCGATTGCAATTGCTCAGGAAGTTGTCGTTCCGCTGGTTCCGGTGGATGTCCAGCAATACGAGATGCGAGAATCCGTGACGCAACTTGCCAGCATACAACCGGCATCGTTGACGGAGTATTTGGAACATGATCCTTTGCCGGCGGAGGAAGGTCCTGCGGATTACTTCCGTGACGAGACTCCTTCGCCTCCGGTGGATGGCAAGAACAAGAAAGTCCCCCGGAAGAAGTATATTACGGCAGGTTTGTTTTCCGATTGCTACAAAGACGATGGCAAGACTGTCGGTCGAAATGGTCCCAAGGTTCAACCGGAATCATTGCTACCACCGCCGGCGTACTGTGAGCGATTCCTACGACGAACGCAACGCGACTACCAGCTTCCGTACGACTTGTGGTGGCTGCACGAGAATGGCAAGCTGACGGCCAGGCATGCGATCGCCAGCTGGAATTATCGAAAGATTCGTACTAATGTGTACTACGACGTGAAGCCGAATCCGTCCACGGATCATCCGCAGTGTAACTGCAAGCCGGATAGCGGCTGCCAGGATGACTGTCTCAATCGGCTGGTGTACGTAGAATGCAGTCCGGAGAACTGTCCGTGTGGAGAACGATGCAAGAATACGAAGATCCAACGGCACGAGTATGCCGCGGGGTTGGAACGGTTCATGACCGAGCAAAAGGGCTGGGGAATTCGGCCCAAGGAGGGCGTTAAGAAGGGATTGTTCATCATGGAATATCTGGGTGAGGTCGTGACGGAGAAGGAGTTTAAGGAACGCATGCGGACGATCTATCTGAACGATACGCATCACTATTGTCTGAACCTGACGGGAGGATTGGTGATCGACGGCCATCGAATGGGAAGCGATTGTAGATTCGTGAATCACTCCTGCGCGCCAAATTGCGAAATGCAGAAGTGGTCTGTGAATGGGTTGTTTAGGATGGCACTGTTCGCATCCCGGGATATTCCAGCGAACGAGGAGTTAACGTACGACTACAACTTTTCGCTGTTCAATCCGACGGAAGGTCAACCGTGCAAGTGTGGTTCGGAGCAGTGTCGCGGGGTAATCGGTGGCAAGTCCCAGCGGGTGAAACCTCTTCCGGCTGCATCGGAGGGGAAGAAACAGGAAACTGCTACCGATGCGTCGAACACTGCAGCTGCACCGACGGATCACAGTCCCCGTACAGCGGCCCGGTCCCGAAAGCGACAGGCAAAGAAGAACGCTCCGTTGACACAGCTGAATGGTCAACCGCTGCCGAACTTTGTACCGCCGACGGTGAAGGAGCGAGGCTTGATCGTAGAACATCACTGTTTCTTGATGCGGAATCTCAACAAAATACGGAAACTGAAGGAACGTTCACCGGAGCTTACGTCTGCGGCAAATGCGGCAAGTCCAGCCCCGGGAGCGAGTGCTCCACAGGCGGCTGGGGCGGGTGGGAAACCTTCGCTTGCTTCACAGATATCGGCACTGCGTTGCCCGAGGAACATCCGCACGCGTGGACTGGCATTCGTCGAGGATGATCCTGAGCTGGAAAAGGTCGCCCGGATTGCTGTGGCCCTAAAGGAGATTTGCATCGAGATTGCCAGCTTGAAAGGTGAGTTGTGAATGGGATTGATTCCAGGACAGGTGGTTGAGAATATGTTCATTTTTGTTTTGCAGATGAACGAGGTCATTTCTACCTGAACCGGTTGGCGCTTCCATCGAAGAAGAAGGTCCCTCTGTACTACGAGCGGATTCCTCGGCCGATTGACCTGGCGCACATCCAGGGTAACATCGAACAGGGAACGTACAAACAACCGAAGGCTTTCGAAGACGATCTGCTGATCATGTTGAGCAATGCGGTCAAGTACTACGGGATCAGTTCCCCCGAAGGCGTTGCTTCCGAGAAGCTAAAGGAGCACTACTACATCTGCAAGCAGCGTCAGGTGGACAGGTTGATCGCGTACGTCGGTGAACAGAACGAACTGCTGCGAGGGTTCATTCCAAAGACGGAACCGGAACCGGTAGTGCCAATCAAGGGACGCGGAAAGTTTAAGAAGCAGGAACAAGCGGAGGACATCATCCGGTGCATCTGTGGACTGTTCAAAGACGAAGGGCTGATGATTCAGTGTTCAAAGTGTCTGGTTTGGCAGCATATCGAATGTACCAAGGCGGATCCTGCGGTGGACAACTATCTGTGCGAGAAATGCCAACCGCGGAAGGTGAACTATGAGATTCCATTGAACGAGTTCACCGAGGAAGGCTATCAGTATTACATTTCGTTGATGAGAGGTAACCTGCAAATTCGACAGACGGATACGGTTTATGTGCTGAGGGACATTCCGATGTCACCGGATCCGAAAAACCCGGATGGACCGCCGCGGAAGCACACGTATGACACGATCGGCAAGGTGGACTACGCCGAGTGCGACATCTTTCGGGTGGAGAGTCTGTGGAAGGATAAGGAAGGTCGACGGTTTGTCTACGGGCATCATTATCTGAGGCCGCACGAGACGTACCACGAACCAACACGGCGCTTCTACCCGAACGAGGTTATGCGTGTGCCGCTGTACGAGGTGATACCGATCGAGCTGGTTATGGAGCGATGCTGGGTGTTGGATCCGACGACCTTCTGCAAAGGACGTCCGGTGGACAGTTCCGAACCGCACGTGTACATTTGCGAACTGAGGGTGGACAAGAGCGCACGATTGTTCTCCAAGATATCGCGACATGCGCATCCGGTTTGCATGAAATCCTATGCGTTCCACAAATTTGAGCAGAAGCTGAAGATCGCCAAGACCTTTGCGGTTGGTATTGTGTGTTGGGTCTCTCGGATCCGTCTGTATTAATCCAATAATTTTCAACAATTTTAGCCTCACGATCTGGGATCGCTAGCGCATCTGCTCGCCGCCAAGGATAACCGCAAGAAGGGTAAGAAGGAAGACTCTGCTTCCTCTACATCCGTAACGCCCACCGTAGCTGCCAAGAAGATGACCCCGATCATTCAACTGCTACCGCCTCCACCGAAGGTAAGTTCTCATTCCTCAAAGCTTTTCGCGCTCATACATCACTCGCTTTCGTCTCACAAAACACACTCACAAGCCGGTCACATGTGTTGGTGCTTTTATAAAAAAGGGGAAACAAACACACACTGTCACAACAATCAATGCGTCTCATCACTCTTTTCATTCGCAATCGCAGCAAGCTTTAAAAATCACTGCATCAGCTTAGTACTCATGTTCATGAAATGGCACTCATCATAGCAAGCGTTCGTCTCCCGTTACTCTATTTGTGATAACAGTGTCTTAGCCATCAATGTTCTTTCTCCTTCTTCTTTTTCTGTTTTTGTATGGTAAAAACAAATGTTGTGTACAAATACAAAGACTGACAGCAACAACCCCGAAGGAGCTCTAGTCCTACCTTCAACCGAGGTAATTGAAAGCTCCTCTTACCAAGAAGCCCCGATCCAAAAAAAAAAGGCATTGACTTTGCTTCCGTGGCCATGGCTAACCTAAAATCTTTTCCCCTTTACTTCCGCCTACTCTTAGACCCTCGCCGAAAAGCGCAACCGCCTGGAGGTAGTCCTCGGACGCCTGATGATCAAACTGAACTCCAACCCGGCGGCACTGCCCCCGGTGGACATCAGCTACCTGTTGACCGGCCGCGGAGCCCGACTACGACGCACCATTGCCAACGCCACGCCCGTTCCGATTATTTGAGAGTGGGTTAAGAAGCGCAAAAAGCGCCGCAAATGGAAACGGTGTTACGATTGAATGGCGAAGGTGGCGCCACCATCGTCATCGTCGTCGTCGTCGCCTGCGATTTATGCAATTATCATCATCATCATTATATATCATTTTTGCAAACGAAAAAAAATCATCATTATTATTATTATTGTACATAGCAACCAACTTCGATACATACGAGTTTCCTTTTTAAGGTTATGTTTGTATATCATCCATTGAATGCACTTCGCGCTAAGTTATTTAATTTATTTATGCAACACACATTCGAAGAAGGTTTTGTTTAGAACAAACGGGCGTTGTTTTTTTTTTTTGTTTACGATTTCCTCTCATGTTTCCTGTTTTGAAATCATTTTCTTTTGCTTGTTTTTTTTTCTTCTTGCAATTGTTTCACTAGTTAATGTCGTTGTAATGACACAGCAGATTAAGGGATTTCTGTTTCAATCAAAGCATGCAAAATGTAGCAAAAACACAAACAACACGGCAATTGAAAAACGGCACACTCATTCAATCAGTTTAGAACAGAAGAAAGTACATAAGTATTAATCCAACTGCATCTCTAGGCAATTTTCCTTCAATAAGTAATAAAGTAAAGCAAATAAATTGAAGATAAGCATGGATGAACGAAAAAGTGAGCGAGATATTAGTGTAGAACAAGTATAACATAATAGTTTTGAATGCAAAACACAATGGACTGACAGTTAATGATAGGGTTTAACAAAAAAAACGGATGAATTAATATATTTGGACAGAGCAAAAAAGAAGAAAGAAAGAAAACTAGGCATAAGTGAAATGCAACTTTTTTTACGTCTTGAAAGCTATATTAGAATTTTAAATTTACTAGCAGAACTGTACTACTATTCAATAAAGTTTAAAGTAGAACGAGAGAGATTGTGGAATGTATGGAAAATATAGGAAGGAAAATCCGGACACTCATACCTTCACTGACAGTACATAAACAACACTGAGCACACTCACATACAGACAAGCAGATCGATTATCGAAAAGATAGAGAACTTTAACTAAATCCCTTTAAGGTGGTGTAGAGAATTGAAATTAAAAGAAAACTAATTTGAACCACCGGTGAGTTCTACCTTTATCCGAAAAACCTTATTACGCTTATAACGGATGTCACTTCACGGTGAAAACTTGTCACTTGTCGTTACGGTGAATCGATTTCCATTTGAATTGTACGGCAATCACGGCTCTTATTCTGATTTGTCTTAACTCTTTCCGTTTTTCAAATGCTGACCCCTTGGGAGGTGTGTTATGTTTGAATTGAAAAAAAGTGAAAACCTACCTAACTACGAGTATAACTTAACTGACGTGCTAGATCACGTATGATCTGATGATTTGATCTCAGATAGGTGTCTCTGAACCTTTCCAGGATGAATACTCTCCGTTCTTCTAACGTCTGAATTCCAGCCAGGAGGTGATCTCAGAAGTTCTTATTCGTGGGGGACTGTTTAGGACCATTCTAAGGATCTTGTTCTGGATCCTTTGGAGTTTAAGGTGATGGCATTTGGCACAACACAACGGGAAGGATGATTTGTTTGTAAACAGCAAGCTAATTTTTCAGGGATAGAGTAGACCTCCTGTTGATGAGTGGATACAGTGATCTTATCAAGATGTTTCTGTCTAGAGCCAACGTAGCAGAGGAGTGCGAATCGCATAGGAAACGGAAGCTGCACGATAGGAAGCTAAACAAACTACGACACGAGTCTCAACGGAGACGGACGACACACCGAACGAGTGAGCAGATCCCATCCACCATCACCAGCACGCCGAGGGTTCACTGCATTGATGGGTTGGTTGTTAACCGATCGACGACCGCATTCACGGAAGAACAATTGACAAATCTCAACAAGGGGCTAGGATACGCCGTTACAACCAAGCCAGAACTGGAGCAGATCATCATTGACATAGAGACAGCGATTACCAAGACACTTTCAACATCATCACAGAATACGGTCAGCACTATCACATCGAACATAATCAAGAACGGACAGGAACAAAGTCGTAGATTAACAACGGACCGTATAGACAGCTTCAAGTAGACCCCTTGCAGAACATAGTTAAAGCGCGTGGAGAAAGCACTGAAGGAGTGCAAATCAATATTAGGAGATGGAGCAGGTCGTTTACGGGAATCCAATCCCATTCTACCCAGGATCAAAAGTCTCCCCAAAGTATGTTCAAATGAAAATGCCTTAATTTGCATTGTGAAAAACCCGTATTCTGATGTAAACAAGCGGTTTGGTTGACTTTTCCTCTCGAAATCGCCTGGTACCCTCTACATTGGTGGTGCACTGAAAAAGCCTATACATAAGTTTAAAACTTTATCCCATAAATGTTCATGTAAAATTCAAAACCATTGCAGTTAAAGTTCACGCGTTGACCATTTTTGGCAGTGGCGTAGCCCTATCCTCAATCTACCTGTTCAACAACTCTCAAAACGTAAACAAGTAACTCAATGTTGGTTCCAATGAATACAAATCTATGAAGAAGAACCCTTAGCATTTCGAAAATTATTTGAATGTAAACATGACCCTAAATAACGTTTTAAAAGTTGTTGAACAGGTAACAAGTGAGATTACGCGACGCCACTGATTTTTGATAAGGTCAATTTATGGTTCGCGTTTATGCGGATAGGCAAAAGTAAGGCAGGTGGTGTTCATTTGAAGCTCTAATAACTTTTCGGGGTTAACTCGGATTCACATCCGGTCGTCATCAAAACGTTCCCAATATTCCAAAGGTAATACATTTTGTACACGAATAAAATCAGCCAACTAAAGCTCCACCTAGAGCCTCGAATTTGAAAGTGGCTCGTTCCCCCATACATTTTGTCGATTTTTCCCATACAAACTTTTAGTTTTAATTTCGAGTCTACTAAATTTACTTGAAATTTAAAAATTCAATTTGAGCTCAAATCGACCTCAGAATAAAAGTTTTTCAAGAAAATCGTTACAAGAGATAATTTGCCAAGTATTTTGAAGCAGATTTCCATCCACTACAGTCGCTATATTTACAGTCTGGCGGGGAGAATTTCGGGATCCAATTGAGCTTGTCAAATAGCGGAACCAATCGAACACCAGCAGCATTCGAAGATTCGAAGCTCGCCTAAGCAAAACAAAGCCAGAAGTGGCTTGGGGAAAGTATTCCTTATTCCATGATGCTTAAAAATTTGCATTCGGTTGACAAGGAATGAACTATCTTAGTTAAGTTTATAAAATCATATCAGCACAGTTGCCACTAAACAGTTGTGCTGACCAGTGCTGTTAATTCTCAAAATCAATTGAACATTTTCGATGAAAATGAGAAAAGCAGCTATCCGCTATCAAAGGGGACCTCCTTCGAATGGGTGATATCAGTTGCTTAGTCATTTGACGAAGGCATGGATCATTCTCATTTGAGAAACGCTTGATATCATTCAATTAAGTGCAACCAGTTTTCCGGCGAAAAAGCTAAGCCAACCCGACACCAACCTGATTTCTACCAAACCCCAGCCCGACATTGACCCGGCATAAACCTAAAATTGACCCCACTACAACACGACATTGTGTCGACATTGAACTTAAATTTGCTTTACATTGATCCGACCTCGGGTCGACTTGCCTGTTCGGGACCATATTGCTGGGTTTCTTCCATACTAAAGTGACTAAATTGACAGTGACAATGAGCTTCGAATGAGAAAGGGGCTCTTCAAATTATGGTCATGTGAGAATTCGTTTTCACAGAATTGATTGAATGGTTGTATTGGTTCATCTTCAATCGAATGATATGAAAATTAACAGCACTGGGGTGGCATTGCGCATCTCGATTCGAGAAAATTCAAACTCGAATCGAGTTAAGTTTGGCATTACGTATTTTTGTCGACTTCATCATTCTAACGTACTAGATTTCGAGTAAAGTATGTACTAGGTCAACTCGAAGAGAAGTCGACAGTGAGCATGCATAAGGGCGAATACGCGATGATCGATTCTCTTCATCGATTTTCTCTTTGCATTGCTACAGCTAAGCGAAACAATTTTCTAGAATTTGTTCAATGCAGAGTAGTAACAGGTTGTATTGGCTATCAAAAGCAACAGCAAACGCACCGAGAAACGTTAAATCTAGCGAGTCATTAACAAAAGAGAAAATCGACGAAGAGAATCGATCATCGCGTATAGGCCCTTATGCATGCTCACTGTCGAAGTGTCAAATATATTTGTTTACAAACAAAATAAAAGTGCTCCGCTGTACATGTAGATATAGTTTTCTGATAAAATATTAAAATTGATTAAAAAGAAACCTGCAATATTTTTTTACGATAGTGATACTGACGAAGAAAGTACGCTGATTCCGCAGAGACGTGAGCTAAGGGTTAACAGTGACCCTTTTTCCTTTGATCCTAATTATGTTTTCGATTTGACCATTAATTATTGTTTTACTGTTAAAGGTTCCGGCAGTACTTCAGGTTGAGCCGCGAAGCTTTTAAATTTCTGTTGGATACAACGTTGTTCCCGCCAACTTCCAGATGCACTGCTATTCCTGCTGTATTGAAACTAGTGACCACAATCAATCTCCTTGCTAGTGGGTCATATCAAGTGAATGTAGGAGGAAGCTTTTTGCTTGGAATGGCCAACCAACAGTTTCATTAGTGTTTAATGTTGGAGAGAAATTTATACGAAAACTTGATAAAATTAGATCCAGTATCGTTGAGTGACACAAAACAACATTTTTTTGTCAATTTCAAAATCCCAGGTGTAGTGGGGTGTATTGATGGTATTCATATACCAATTTTGAGATCTACACAGGATGAACACATGTATTTTAATGGGAAAGGGTTTCACAGTATCAACTATATGATGGTAAGTAGCATGAGTGTGGAGCATGAGTGAAGCATGTGTGAAGCATGAGTGAAGAGCGTTATCCTCCATTGTAACGATGAGTAAAATAGCGTTATTGGTAACGCCACGAGTTGGGATAACGAGTTAAGCTGGTCACACTATAATAGCGAATGACACCTATTCGGGAACCGCGAAGTGATCGTGGTGTTGTGTTCGGCAGCAATGCTGAGTATAGCCAACAATCAATTCGAAACTAACGATTTTAAATTGGCTCACCGCTTGACTAGCCTATTGGTCCCAAGCAAACGATTAACGTATCCCATTCTAGTCAAAATTCTACACGGTTAGAAAAAAGTACCCAAAAATAAGTTCTTTTCACTCATCTCGGCACTATAGTGCAGGAACCCAAAAGTAGGTAAAGCGGGTCAAAGTAATTTTCATTTACTTGTGTGCAATTCGTATGGAATTTTCCACTAGCTTTCAATCCAAAAGTAAGTTAGTTGTACCCAACAGCAGGTAAATATGATTATACTCAACGTTGGGTTCCCACACTTTACTACCCCTGTTGGGTGGTTTTGCTCCTCAGTTTTTAACAACATTAGAAGGAGGAAAGGAGACAAACTAGTCAAAATTAGGTAAAAGTGAACTGGCCGTTGGGTACTTTTTTCTTACCGTGTAGGACTACACTATGTTTGTTTTGATTCGCTATGAAAGTTTGACAGACAAAATGAGGGGTTCATGGATTTTCTTATGTTTCAAGGGGTGCATCGATTAGCTTGGTACCGAAGATAGTACCAGAGCTGAGCCAAAAAGTTGAGCACGTATCTTCGGGTCCTTCTGGTCTTAGAGTTACCTCTATGGTATAGCGGAGGGTATTCAAGTATAGACGATTGTTCGGTACGGACGCTTTCACGGAGCTCTAGGGATTATTAGAGCCAGTGAGAGAAGGCACGAGTTGGATTTTACATCCATGAATCCCGATAGAAATTCCACTTGCGAGGAGTTGATGCTCAATGCATTTCGAGGCGATTCCGTAGTCCGAAAATAAAATTTGATTAATTATTGAGTTTATTAAAAAAAAACTTTATGTTTATACTCACATATTGGTTCGTCCCAGGGGAACGACACTCATTTGGATGTATTTTTTCAGTCTAGTAATTACTTGGGATTTTCGGGGGAAACATAATTGATGGGATTTTTTTGAGTGTGTCGTGTTGACGAAAATAGAGCAGGGATAGAAAAAATAGATGG